GGCTCCCTGAGGCTCAAGGAGAAAGTCGCCCGTGGAACCCTGCACGGGGCGATGGCGGGAGGGAAACGCAAGCACGCAGCACCCCAGGCTCCCACTTCCACAGTGCACGTCTTCCCTGTGGACTCACAGGTGGCCACACAGGACACGTCTTCCCTGTGGACTCACAGGTGGCCACACAGGTGCATGTCCTCCCCCGTGGACTCACAGGTGGCCACACAGGAACTCCCATGCTAGCTCGGAAGAGACCTGGGACTCGCTGAGGTGCAGGGGCTTCTCCAGGCCCCGGAGACTCTTTGGATGGGGGAAGGGCGGGCACAGGTGGACAGAGCTGCTGGGTGCACACCTTTTGGGCTGAGGCTCCACATCACCTCGGCAACTGCCTGCTGGACGCACACCACAGGTGGCAGACTTTTAAAAACACAGGACAGCCCAGGGCACAGGGCCGCACCTTGACCTCCAGTGCTCTGAGCATGGGCCCCAGGGCAGGTGGCCTCCAGACAGGTAGAACCCCGTGGCCTCAGGCTGCCAGGAGGCCGAGGCTGGCCCGCAAAGCCCAGGTGGTCCGCCACCAGTCCCTGGGTGTCCTTAGCACTGTCTCACACTGGGCCACTCTCCCCATACCCCACCTGTGTCTCTGCAGGGGTGAGAGGGACCTTCAGCCACCTCTCCACCCCCAGGGCCAGCCCTTCATTGGGGTCTTGGATGTAGAGATGGTGACGTCAGCTCCCTGGCCCTCAAGGGTCAGCCTGGGTGAGGCCTGCAGTGTTCTTAGAGATCCCAGGAGATGAAGCTCGGCCAGGTGGGCTTCATAGCCACCCTGGCCTCTACTTCCCTTCCAGCTGGCTGCCCACCCCCGGCCACTCCCAGTAAATCACGCACACATGAAGCCTCCTCTTGGGCCTGCTTCCAGGAACCGGCCCAGAGCCTCCCGTCCGCCTGGCAGCTGTCCACACGGCCACCCCACTATGCGCTGCCCGTGGGACACACATCCTGGGGGGGTTTCCAAAGGAAAGAAAGACAAATGGCTCTAGCACCTTCTTCCCGCTCTCAGTTGGTCATCCCGGCTGTAAGCCTCTCACTTAGGAGACTGCGTCCCTAGCACTGCCCTGGGGAGCCATGGAGAGCTCAGAGGACAGGTGGCCCTGGGCAGCTGCGTTTGGGCAGTGGGGACCAGGCCCATGGGGGTCGGGGCAGCAGAGAGCCTGGGCCAGCAGCGTCCTCCTCCTCAACTCCCACAAAAGCCTAGGCAGAGCTGGACATGCAACTTGGACAGGACAAAGGACCGTGCCTCCCAGAGGGCTCCTTTTCCTTTGCGGTTTGTGCCGACTGTCACCCACTTGTTGACTGATTTCTTCCCAAATTGTCAAGGGAGAAGAGGAGGAGAGAGGAAGAGAAAGAAGAGGAGGAGGAGGAGAAAGGGAGACAGAAGAGCAACAAAGGCCACTCTTCCTGGGCACCTGCCTGCCCAGGCCCTCTGTGTCCATGCCCAGAAGCCGCGGGGCCCTGAGCTTGACCTTTCCCACCTATGGCTGGCCCAGAGAGCAGTGGTTTGAATTGTCAATCAGCTTGTCCCTTCCCCCATTCCACGCCCTCTACGCACATGCTGTCCTACAGCCCCGGGACGCCCTGTTCTGGGGCCGGGGTGTGTCCCCCCACCTGCTTGTGCTGAAATCTTGACCCCACAGGGACAGTGTTGGGACGTGCTGGGGCCATGAGGGTGGAGCCTGCCAGGGGACTGCAGACCTTCTAGAAGAGACCTGGAGACCCCTCGCCCTCCACAACGTGTGGCCCTCACAGACACTGCCCCTACTGGCCCCTTGGCCCTGGCATCCAGCCTCCAGAACCGAGAACGGGTTTGTGCCGCCTGAGGCACCTTTGTTTTCATTGTCCAATGGACCAAGACACCTGGTGGGAGGATGGACGCGGAGCCTGTCCTCTGGCTCACTGCCCTGCTGGGGAGACACAACCAAAAGAGGCAAAGTATACAATACAGTGGTGACTGCGGTGACGGGGCACACTGGACCCGCCTGCCCAAACAGCGGTGGACAATGTGACCACCAGAGGCCCTTGTCAGGAGAGCCCCGGCCATCCATGACCGTGTTCTCATCAGGGGAATCAGGACTTAGTGTTTGACAAGGCCTGGGCTCGGGGTAGGACCAGGATTCAGGCTCAGTCTGCAGCCAGTATCGAGGCTCAGTATGGCCAGAATGAAGGCTCAGTCTAACTGCAGGTAGCTTATTCTGTGAGCGGGACCGGGGCTCAGTCTGTAATGCAGATCAGTTCAATCCAGCTATGCCCATGGTCAGGCTCAGTGGTTGCCCAGTGTCAGGGCTCCATCTGTGATCAGGGTCAGCTCCCAGTCGTGATGGGCATTCTGGGAATAGGGCCCAGTGTGTAGCCAGGGTCAGAGCTCAGTATATGCTCAGGATCAGGCTGTATCTCCAGCCTCCGTCATATCTTGCTGCAGGTGCGGGGTGGCCGGCAACTTTCTCTTGTGGAAATCCCCTTTGGCTCAGGTCCTAATTAAGTTTAAACCCCCATCGACTGAGGGTTTCATCAGGGAGCGCAGCTCCGAGCCAGGGCACTGAGCAGAAAATGAGGGCTAGCGCTGGGCCAGCCCTCTGCAGCCCAATCAGGGGCCCACACACCGGATTTGCATAAATCTCTAAGCCGATTAGAGGAGCATTCCCAGTAAGCAGCAGGTATGGAGCCAGCAAAGCCGCTCCCTCCCTCTCGGTAGATTAATTGTTCCCATCCCAGCTGGTCCCAACGCCCAGTTCATCATCTCTCCCCACCAACGGGCACCATCTCCTACCTCCCCAGGGCACCAGACTCAAACCCAAGCCACCCTGGGCACTCATCCACACCAGCCGCCGAGTGCTGGCCGTGTCCACCCCCCCACAGCCCACCTGTTTGCACCCCATGACATCCTCAGGAGTGTCCCCAAGGCCAGCCTCTCCCTTCCATCCCTTGCACCCCTGCAGCTGGCTGGCACACACGTGGCCTCGGGCTCTGCAGAGGCCGGCCTTGTTCTATCTGGGCCCTGCGTCTCCCCTGAGGAGCGCCTCCTGGTACTGCATCCATGGAGCACAGAGGCTGGCAGGGGCAGCGCTGGCCTGGGGTGCAAGGTCAGTGCTTGGCCGTGGGTCTGCTCTCCTGCAGGACAGGACCTTCCAGCTGCAGCCTGCAGCCTTCCCACAGCCTCCCAGCAGGCAGAGAGCAGTTCTGCCACTCCACCCAACAAGCCAGCTCTGTCCTGGGCACACCTGCTGTTTTCCTGGGGGTGCCAGGAGAATGCGAGGCCTGGAAAGTGTGTGGGTGGGGGTGGGGGTGAGGCTCACGGGTGGGTAGAATGTCGGCACCCCCACATGGTCAGGATGGGCACCCTCTCTCCCTGCTCCCTTCCTTCTGAGAGCCACGCAGGGAAGGAGAGGGTCCCTTGGCCATCCCAGGGGTTGCAGAATGGTAGTGGGTGGGACAGGGACCTCATCATGGCCCGGATTCGCTCTCTGACCCTGACCAAGCGCGTTGCTCACTGAGAGGAAAGCGACTGGGTTTTCCGCACTCTGGATCTGTGGAGTGAGTTTGAGAGCTTCAGGTGCAGCCGTGTGTTTGAGAGGCCCACATGCACTCCAGTGGGCTTGCTGAGTCCCCCAGGCTGGCCCCAGTCATAGCACATGCTGTGAGCACAAACCTGGGCAGTGACTCCCTGTGCAGGCCCCAAATCTGCTGGACTTAGGGACTTTGGAGGCAGAGGCCCACTCTGGCACTCACTAGCTGGGACCAGGTGCGAGGCCTCCAGCTGCCTCCGTCTCTGTCTTTAGGAGAGAGAGAATGGTAGTGGTGACCTCGCTGGCACCTGCTTTGGGGCTGTGGAATGAAGCACGTGGCATGCTTCCTGCCCACAGTGAGGCGGGTACACAAGCCTGCAGCGCCCTGCACCTGGGCATGGCGTCTCTGTGCTTGTCAGCCCTCTGCGTCAGGGAGGAGAGGGCAGAGCTGAAGGCTCCTGGGCTCAAGGACACCCGAGGCAGAGGACAGCAAGGGGACTCCAGCCCACCTGAGCACCAGCAGACCCCACCATGGCAATAATAGGGCAAACTTGCTGCCTCTCCTGTGCCTGGTCTAGCAGGACGATGGCACAAACCAAATCACTACACACATGGTGAGGTGGCTGCTCTGAGGGGTCCGTGGAGCTGAGGAAGGCCCTGGAAGACCGGCTGAGTGGTCAGTCTGGGATGGAGAGGAGGGGCTGACTGCTGGGAGCACGAGGTGGTGTGTTCCTACCCTGGAAGAGAAGCTGGGTCTTCTCTTCCATTGTTGAGGGTTTGGGGAGATCATGGAGCAAAGGAGGTGACAAGCTGGGCTCTGAGTGTCTACTAAGATATCCAGTAAGATGGTGCTCAAAAAGGAGCATGTGGGACACATGACAACCAGCAGCACTCTCCTCCCCCAGCCCCCAGGAGGGGAGATGGGCTCAATCTTCCCCTCTCTGCTGAGAACCTCAGCTTCCTCCTTTGCAAAATGGAGATGAGAAAACCTGCCCATCCTGCTCATGGGGCACTTGTGAGGATCCAGTTTATCTCCAAGCAGAGGAAAGAGCCTCACAACCATCACCACCACCAATAACACCACCTGTCCTGATCCTCACCACCATCACCATCACCATCACCACCATCACCACCACCGCCATCACCACAATCATCATCTCACCACAACCACCATCACCATCACCATCAGTGCCTGACTGTGGGTCTGGTCTCCTGATGACCACTGTCATGGTCATCACCACCATCACCACCATCACCACCATCA